AGGGTCCCAATCTGACCCACCCCCCACCCTCCTGCCAGAGCTGACCTGTGAATGTTCCATTCCCAGTGTTCCTTCTCCTGTCCCTCCAGAGCCCATCCCCATCCTAAGTCTTGGGTATAGAACTGTTATATTATCAGGAAACTCTGGGAACAGCCACACCCACAATCTGATACCCAAAGAGGCTCAGCACATACCCTGTCCTCTCAGGCACAGTCACATCTACCCTCTGACAAAGCCACATACTCTGTCACTTTGACACATTAAATCACATCCCTGTCACAATACACAGGCTTACATTGTCACACTTTTGTCCTTTCTCATCACACACATGAACACACACAATCATATCCCCTGTATCTGTCACCCACTGAGTCCACAAACACTCTGTTACCTATACCTGCAAGGATCGAGGTGTGGGAATCACACATCTTCAGAGCCGTTGTGGACCCCTGACCCCAAAAGGGACTACCCAGAAGGACCCCTGACCCCAAAAGGGATTCCCCAGAAGTCTAGTGTTACATCAGGATTCCCGGAACCTCCTTCTTCTACCCCAGACACCCTGCTTTTCTCCAGACCTCTCCTCCTATCTCCCAGACTTCCCTCATCTCCACACTCCAGTCCTCCTGCACTGCACCCCTTATCATTTCTCAAACACCTGTCCACTGGTCTTCTCTCTTCACCTCCCGGTCCTCCACATTCCCTCCTTACCTCCCCTAGATGCCCCACCACAGAGTTCCCGTTTTTACCTCTCCCAGATGTCCTGTTCCCCAAGCATCCCTCCTCACCTCCCGGAGATGCCCTATCCCATCACTAACCTGCTCACTCCTCCTCCCAGTCACAAAAGTCAGAGTAGCCCCTCCCCAATGCTGCAGGCACTGTCCCTCCAGCCAGCAGCCCAGAGCTGCCCAGGCCCCTGGGTTACCTTCCAAGGAGACAGGCTCAAAGAGGCCAAACTGCTCCAGGACCTTGACAAACAGAGCGAGGACCACAAGCACGGCGACCATCTCCAGCCCTTCCAGGTTCATGGTGGGCCTGGGGCATGGTCCCCAGGCTGAGACTCAGCAGGCCTGCCAGCCCTACTCACACCACCTCCCCCTCAGGCTCCCCATGGAGAGTAGGACTGCCGGCAGCCTCCCTCCCCTTCTTCTTCCCTGGATCTCCTCCCTCTCCCCACCTCCCTCACCCCGCCCCTGCCCCACTGGCCTCTCAGCCACAGCTTCTTCCTCTTCACAGGCCACTTCAGCCTCTAGACTGGCATCTTCTTGGGAGCCTTTGGTGTGAAAGATATGGGCCAGGCCAGGCCAGAGGAGGGATACAGTGACCTAACTCTGTCCCCAGGACAGCTTCCCCCAGACACCCTGTGGCTACTCTGTGCTAAAGGGAGGGGGCAGAAAGAGGAGCTGTCCTTAGGGAGAAGGCAGGGAAGGGCAGTGTGAGAAATTACGAGTAATAGATGTATGGGTCAGAATATGTTATGGGCGTCTGGGTGTTTTCTGGTGTGTATATTCCTGTGTTTGTCTGTATGGAGAATATGTGTCTGTGTGCTTACACCTGATTGTGCACCTATCTATTAGGTGTGTGTCTTGTGTATAGGGGTATGTGACCTGGGTGTCTATGGTGTGTGTGAGAGAATGTATTGAAATATTTCTGAGTGTGTATGGGTGTAAGTGTCTGTGTTTCAGTAGACTTATGGGCTGTGGGTCTGAGGACTGGTAATATGGATGTGTCCTATAATTAGGAGTACAGGTCTCTGGTGGTTGTGTAATTGTATCTGCATGGAACTGTATGAGAATATAAGAGGGAAGAAAGCAGTGACCTCTCCCGCCCAGAGGACACTACCAGCATCGATTGCGGTTGCCATGGAGACAGTGGGGGGTGGGGCAAAGCGTTCTCTTTCCCACTGGCCACAGACAGGAAAATTGAGGCCCAGGGAGGGAGAATTAGGTCCAATAGCCTGGGCAGGAAAAAAGTCTGCAAGGATAGAGGCCTTAGCCCTATCAGGACCTGTTTGGGAGGAGACTTATTGCACCTGCCTTTGGGACCAAGAGACTCAGTTTCTTGGGAGAGGAGGAGGGACTGTGCTCTTCCCTTCCTCCTGACTGGGGCTCCCAAAGCCCTGCCTGCTCCTAGGGAGCCATTACTGAGCAGATGGAGAAGCCCAGGGTAGAAGAGAAATCTGAACCCGCCCAGGGCACCACCCCCACTGCACCCCCTGGAACATTCCTGGAACTCCTCCCCCATCTTCCCAGCTCCTTCGGGGTCAGTGGTGGTGGTGAGTGTAGGGGTGGGGAGAGGCCTGCAGAGCAGAAGACTAGGGCTGCTGAGTTACTGCACAGCTGAGTAACACTGAGCACTCACTGTGTGCTAGACAGAGTTCTATGTGCTTACAGACACTATCATGCTGAGTTTTCACAATAAACCTATGACAGCAGTAGGATTATCCCCACATTACAGGTGGTGAAATTAAGGCATAAGAAGGTAAGATCAGTATCAGAGCCTCCATTTCAAACCAGTCTGACTGTGAGCCTGCGGCACTCTAAACCACCACACTACACTGGCTCCCTTCTTAGACAGCTCGCCCACCCAGGAGGCCCCGTTTAGGATGATGGACCCCAGAGGAAGCCCTCTTTCGGGGTCCAGCTCTGGAATGAGTGTGTGACTGAGCCCCAGTTGTGGGGTGGGAGTTGGGTGGTTGTGGGGTGGGACTCCATTTGAGTCACTGATCTGTAGCTCTACAGCCCACCACTGGGGGTCAGGCCATACCTTACCCCTAGGCTTTCCCCGAAGCCCAACATCCCAGGAAGGTGTTGAAAGGAGGGAAGGAGGGTAGCACCCCAGGCTTGATCCTCTGCTTTCCCTCCTCTCCTCCCCCAAGAAGTCAACTCAGAGACTGCGTTCAGGTTCTCACACTTTAGAGATTACAGATTAACAGGTGAAACCAGCAAACACCTTCCTGTCACAGTCCAAATTCCACATCTGGCATTTAATACCCTCCCCTTACCCTCATCCGATCTCTTTTTCTTTCAGCCATTTGGCCTCCACACTGTCTCCCAAATACACCAAACTCGGTGCTCTCTCTGTGCCTTTGCTCCTACTATTCCCTCTGCCTGGAATGCCCTCCCTTCCTCTCTCCTTCGGTCCTACAGTTCTTACCTACCTTTTGGAGACATCTTAATTTCCCTTCCCTTCAAAGCCTCCAGCCCTCAGCAGACTCTCAGATACCTGAATTTCTACTGAACTCAATGTTGGGCCCTCAAAACTCAGCACCTAATTCTGGAATATATTAGTGGGAACAATAAAAGGAGGCAGCCTATTAGGAGGCTGATACACAAATTGGGCTAAGTACTGCTCTAATTGTCACCATACCTCCCTAGAATAAACTGCCTTTTGACGACCGGGACAAATTGAGTGAAATCGTAACGGACAAAAAAAAAAAGGAGGCAGCCTAGCACACTAGGTAATTGTTAGGTTTGATCGAACAATTGAATCAATACCCCTCCCCGGGGAACTGGCTTTTCAGGCCATTTCACTATGGACATTCCCTTTGCTTAGACCACATTTCACTTGCTGCGACCACATTCCATTACCTCCCCTCCGGGTATGCATAAAGAAGTCTCCGTCCAGAAAAAAGCCGCCAAAAGTCCTTTAAAAGCCGCTGACTGCTGTCACTGAGTGCTGGAACCATCAGGCTCAGCCACCTGGTGTGCAGATGATTGAATAAATTCGTGATCCCTCACCCTTTGGGCCTCGTGCATTCCTCCTTTGGCGACCTAACAGTAATAGCGTGGGCCAACGTGCAGACTGGGTTCAAATCCCAGCTTTGCCACTTAATTTAATTTGCAATTAAATTAGCAAGTTCTTAACCGTTGTGTGCCTCAGTTTCCCATCTCATGTTTGCTGGTTGGAGTAAATGAATTAAAAATGGAAAGCTGATAGAATAACTCCTGGCACAGAGTAAGTGCTGAAGTATTTGTGACCATCATTTATTTATTTATTTATTTATTTATTTATTTATTCCTCACCTGAGGGTATTTTTCCATTGATTTTTAAAATATACTTTTATTGATTTCCGAGAGGGAGAGAGGGATAGAAACATCAATGATGAGAGAGAATCATTGATTGGCTGCCTCCTGCCCGCCCCCTACTGGGGATCAAGCCCACAACCGGGGCATGTGCCCTTGACCAGAATCGAACCTGGGATGCTTCAGTCTGCAGGCTGATGCTCTATCCACTGAGCAAAACCAGCTTGGGCTACATTAATTTTTAGAGAGAGGGAAAGACAGAGAGAAACACTGATGTGAGAGAAACACATCAATTGGTTGCCTCCGGCATGGGCCCTGACCAGGACCTGGGCTGGGGAGGAGTCTGCAACTGAGGTACATGCCCTGGATGGAATCGAAACCAGGACCCTTTGGTCCACAGGCCGATGCTCTCTGCACTGCACCAAACTGACTAGGGCTGTGACTGTTATTAATAACATGCCACTCCCCCCTTATATTTCTATAGCTCTTAACAATTCACAAACTGTTTCCACATTGTTCTCTCAGTGGCTTCTCATGACAACCTCATGAGGTAGGCAGAGTGATTAGTGTTGTGCCCTTTTTATTGATGAGTTAAACAGGGCCCAGAGAGATAAAAGGACTTGCTCAAAGTCACCTAGTTAAGTGATGCAGATTTGAACCCAGGTATTACTGGATCAAACCTGCTTCCTCAACTAAATTCCAAGTTCCTAGAGGGTGAGGATGTTAAAAAAAATTGTATAGACAAATTGAATGCCAGGCTCTGAGTCGGTGCCTGTGAAACAAAGATGAACCAAACAGGACTCTGGCTCCCACTGGGCAGGGAGAGAGCTCACTGAGAGAACTACAAGCCATCTATTCATTCAAAAAATATTTGTTGCCCTAACCGGTTTGGCTCAGTGGATAGAGCGTCAGCCTGCAGGCTCAAGGGTCCCAGGTTTGATTCCGGTCAAGGGCATGTACCTTGGTTGTGGGCACATCCCCAGTAGGGAGTGTGCAGGAGGCAGCTGATCAATGTTTCTCTCTCATCGATGTTTCTAACTCTCTATCTCTCTCCCTTCCTCTCTGTAAAAAAAAAAAAAAATCAATAAAATATGTTTTAAAAAATATTTGTTGCATGCCTACTACATGGTAGGAACTGTTCTAGGCAAGCCATGAAATGAGCTATAGTAAAAACTTTCTAAGTGGGAGCCCAGGCAAAACTTGGAGAGGTTATTTTTTGAGCTGACTCTTAAAGGATGGCTACAATGTCAAAGGACCACCATAACAAAGGGATCATTTATTGAGCACATTTTGTGTCCTGGATACTTTACATATATTACCTCACTTAGTCCTCATAATAAACCTGATAGATAAGGTCTATTATTCCCGTGTTTATAGCTGGCATGGTTAGAGTGAGTAGTAATATACCTATTTTTTAAAAAATATATTTTATTGATTTTTTACAGAGAGGAAGGGAGAGTTAGAAACATCAATCAGCTGCCTCCTGCACACCTCCTCCTGGGGATGTGCCCGAAACCAAGGTACATGCCCTTGACCGGAATCGAACCTGGGACCCTTCAGTCTGCAGGCAGACGCTCTATCCACCGAGCCAAACCGATCCAGCATTAGGGAGTCCCAGGTTGTCCCACTGCCATCTCCTTATCTGTGTCATCTGTGCATCCAGGCAGACAAGGCTTGCAGGAAGGTGCTGAGCTCTCATTCTCTGAATTAATGCCGAGGAAGGACAGGGGAGTTGATTTAAACTTGTCGTCTGAGTGTAAACCAATCAGGAGGCTTTGGCTAGACATAAATGGTAAAGATTTATTTGATGATCTTGGGATTTGCAAGTGGGAAATACAACTAGGCAATACCCAGGGTGTTCCGAGTAAGAGACAAAAGCTGTGAGTTCTTACAGTAAAAAGTACATGCTTGAGAAGAATCAGTCCTGTCCTCTTAGCCTCTGGATTGATCCGAGATGGGAATCACACAGATATCAGATGGTCAGGACCAGCCGTGGGCAAACTACCCCCCGCGGGCCGGATCTGGCCCGTTTGAAATGAATAAAACTAAAAAAAAAAAAAAAGACCGTACCCTTTTATGTAATGATGTTTACTTTGAATTTATATTAGTTCACACAAACACTCCATCCATGCTTTTGTTCCGGCCCTCCGGTCCAGTTTAAGAACCCATTGTGGCCCTCCAGTCAAAAAGTTTGCCCACCCCTGCTCTAGTCAAATATGACATAATACTATATGTCAATTATAATTTTTATTTTTATTTATTTATTTATTTTTTAAATATATTTTATTGATTTTTTACAGAGAGGAAGGGAGAGAGATAGAGAGTCAGAAACATCAATGAGAGAGAAACATCGACCAGCTGCCTCCTGCACATCTCCCACTGGGGATGTGCCCGCAACCAACGTACATGCCCTTGACCGGAATCGAACCCGGGACCTTTTAGTCCGCAGGCCGACGCTCTATCCAGTGAGCCAAACCGGTTTCGGCAATATACCTATTTTGCAGATGAAATAATTGGGGCTCAGAGAAGTGATGTTCCCAAGACAGCACAGATGATAAGGGATAGATGAAAACTTGAACCAGGCCCTGGACAGTGTGGCTCAGTTGGTTGAGCATTGTCCCATGCACTGAGAGGTCACGGGTTCAATTTCCAGTCAGGGCACATGCCCAGGCTGCAGGCTTGATCCCCAGTAGGGGGCCTGCGGGAGGCAGCTGATCAATGTTTCTCCCTCTCCATTCCTCTCTCTCTAAAGTCAATGAAACAACAGGAACAAGACAGGGATGCCCACTCTCACCACTCCTGTTCGACATAGTACTGGAAGTATTAGCCATTGCGATTAGACAAGAAGAAGAAATAAAAGGCATCCAAATTGGAAATGAAGAAGTAAAACTGTCCTTATTCACAGATGACATGATATTGTACATAAAAAACCCTAAAGACTCCATCAAAAAACGATTAGACTTAATAAATGAATTCAGCAATGTAGCAGGATACAAAATTAATGCCAAGAAATCTATGGCATTTCTATACACCAATAATGAACTTACAGAAAGAGAGATTTAAAAAGCAATCCCATTTACCATCACACCAAAAAAATTAAGATACCTAGGAATAAACTTAACTAAAGAGGTAAAAGACCTCTACTCAGAAAACTACAGGACGTTGAAAAAAGAGATAGAGGAAGACATAAACAGATGGAAGAACATACCATGTTCTTGGATTGGTAGAATCAACATCATTAAAATGTCCATACTACCCAAAGCAATCTATAGATTCAATACACTCCCCATTAAAATACCAACGACATATTTCACAGACCTAGAACGAACTCTCCAAAAATTCATCTGGAATAAAAAAAGACCCTGAATAGCTGCAGTGATCCTGAGAAAGAAGAACAAAGTAGGTGGGATCTCAATACCAGATATTAAGTTGTATTACAAAGCCACTGTTCTCAAAACTTCCTGGTATTGGCACAAGTACAGACATATAGATCAATGGAATAGAATAGAGAACCCAGAAATCAACCCGAACCAATATGCTCAATTAATATTTGACAAAGGAGGCAAGAACATACAATGGAGTCAAGACAGTCTCTTCAATAAATGGTGCTGGGGAAATTGGACAGATACATGCAAAAAAATGAAACTAGACCACCAACTTACACCATACACAAAAATAAACTCAAAATGGATAAAGGACTTAAATGTAAGACGGGAAACCATAAAAATACTAGAGGAATCCAAAGGCAACAAAATCTCAGACATATGCCGAAGCAATTTCTTCACCGATACATCTCCTAGGCAGTGGTCGGCAAACTGCGGCTCGGCAAACCGCGGCTCGCGAGCCACATGCGGCTCTTTGGCCCCTTCAGTGTGGCTCTTCCACAAAATACCGGCTCTTCCACAAAATACCGACTTCTGTGCATGGGCCATGAAGTTTCAATCGCACTATACGTGCACGCCCGCACGTGGTATTTTGTGGAAGAGCCGCACTGAAGGGGCCAAAGAGCCACATGTGGCTTGCGAGCCGGGATTTGCCGAACACGGTCCTAGGGCATTGGAAACTAAAGAGAAAATAAAGTCAATGAAACAAAATGAAACACTTGAACCAGAACAATGATCTGCCAGCTCCCTCAGGCTGTCTCTCCAATGCATGTGGATATGGCAAGCAATCCTGGATGACTGTAGCTTGGTCACTCAGGAGCTAAAAGTGATAAGACAAAAGGGTCAGAGTCCATGGAGCCTTGAATGCCAAGCCAGACTACTTGGATTGAAAGAGTTAGTACAGCATCATCTCCCTGACCTCTGACGCTGATTCACAGATGGACAGATTGACAACCTTGCAGCCAATTGCCCTGTCCCTGACCTTCTACTTTCCTCTCTCACTCCCACCCTCAACCTTTAGAGACCCTGACTTAGCCTTGACCCAGCCTTACAGGGACTCAAGGTCCTACATCGATCAGGCCTCTGGTGAGAGGGTCTATCAGAAGTGAAAGAGTGAGTCGTTTTCCAGGTTCTCCCTTCTCCCTGCTCAGAGATCTCTCAAGTCCATGGCCCTGTGAGAAACCTGCCCAGATGTGTCCTCCCCTAGCACCTCTAGCATCCTCTAGTTCTTTATTCAAAGGAGTGAAGTCTTTTTTAAAAATATGTTTTTATTGATTTTTAATTTTTAATGTTTTTGTTTTGTTGTTTTTTGTTAATCCTCACCCGAGGATATTTTTCCATTGATTTTTAGAGAGAGTGTAAGGGAGAGGGAAAGACGGAGTGAGAGAAATATTGAGACACATTGATTGGTTGGGGCCAGGGATTGAGCCTGCAACTGAGGTATGTGCCCTTGACTGGAATCGAACCCAGGACTCCTCAGGCTGCAGGCCGATGCTCTCTCCATTGAGCCAAACCGGCTAGGGCTTATTGATTTTGGAGAGAGAGAAATGGAGAGGGAGAGAGAGAGAAATATCAGTGTGAGAGAGAAACAGATCGGCTGCCTCCTGAACGTCCCCCCAGGGATCAAGCTCAAAACTCAGGCAAGTGTCCTAACCCTGAATCGAACCACTGACACCCCAGCGCACAGGACAACACCCAACCACTGAGCCACACCAGCCAGGGCAAAGGAGTGAAGTCTTAATGGAAGTGCTTCAGACAGTGAAGGCTCACAGCATTAGGTGGGCCCTCCCTGGTTCTCTCAAATCTCAGCAGAGATACTCCTATCATTTAGTCATTCAGACCTTATGGGGGACCCACCCTATGTTTCTGTCCCACTTTCTCCATCCTTCCTCCTCCAGTGAAGATCCCAGCCAGTGAAGATCCCAAGCGTTCTCTCTCAGTCCCCCGGCTCCATTCTGTCCCAGCCAGGCCAGAAGACACAGCAGCCAGAAGACACAGCAGCCCCCAGCTGTATCAGGTGATTAATGAACTCCTAGGCCTTTGGGCTATTTTGGGGCCTGGAAGTCATGCCTATGATTGAGAACTGGCCCTGCCAGGCTCTAGCCATCTGTCACCGAAGACAGGCCCAAGCAGTGGGCTTGGGGGACGCAGGCTCCCCAAGCAACTTCTAAGTATGACTCTGGCTCAGCCCCATCTCCCCTCCTTCTGAGGAGCACAAGGCAAGGAGAGGCCTGCCTATACTCCAGGGGCTCAAGTGGATACCATGGAGAGAGCCAGAGAACTACGGGTTCCAGAACGCCCCAGGGTTAGGTTGTTTTGGCCTCCCTGGGGCCAGAGGGGAGGGGATGCTGGGTTTTCCAGGCAGCCCTAAGGAAACCCAAGTGCAAGTGTGTACAAATAGCAGTGCCAACATATGATCCCCATAATCCCCATATCATAAATTCCACAAATCCCATACCAAAGTACAATCTTGTGAAGGCTGCAAAACTAATGTAGTGTGACTCAGGAACCCCCAGCCCAACTCTAAAGCATAAAACTCAAGTACATGCAGTTCCACTGTCACAGAATCCCAGGGACATGCAACCGCAGGGACACAGCCCCAGCGTTCACAACCCCACTGATGCATGCACAACCCCCTCAGTACGACTCAGAGAGACAAAACAGTGACATGTAATCCTTATGTCACACAAGTTTACCCACCCGTCATGCATGAGCTCACTAGCCGAGTTCATGTTGGTCCAGTCCTACCTGAGATTTTTTTCCTCTGGACACTCACCCCAGTCATCTTAAGATCCCATTAAACTAAACAATCCAGTAAAGGGCTGTGCATCCCCCCTGCTCTGCTGCAAGCTTCTTCCCTTTATCCCTGTGAGGTGTCCTGCCTCCTACATTCACCTGCTTGAAGCCCCCTCCTCTGCCCTCAATGAGAAGCCCTGCCCCCGCCTCCACCATGGGGAGGGACCATGATGCCCCTCTCCTTTCCTCCTTAACGACCCCTATCTCCTCCACCTCCTCGGTAAGGAACCCTATCCCTCCTCCACTCTGTCAGGGGTACTGCCCTTTAACCCCCCCCCTTTTTTGGAGGGATCCTGCTCCCTCCATCTGTGAGGGGCCCTTTCCCTCCCCACCCTTGTAAAGCTCCTATCCCACTTCGCTCACTTTTTGAGGGGTCCAGCCCCTTCCTCCCTTCCTCATACCTGGCGACAGCGACCCAGTCACCAGCTGGTAGAGGGATCGTGCTGCCTGCCCCAATGGGCTCCTGCACCTGCGGGGGCAACGGCTCATGATTCCGCTGAGAGCACAGTGGCCAAGCTCCGCCCCCAAGGCCGGGGGTGGTCGGGTCTCCGCCTTGTGGGCCCTGCGTGGGCGGCGCGGGAGGGCCGGACCCGCAGGACCAGGACCTCAGACAGCAGAGCCTCATTCCACTCCAGGTCTTCTCCGGACCGCACGAGGGGAACTCGCCCTAGCCCTAGCCCCAGCATCTAGAGCACGGGACCCCAAAGTTCCTAGACTGAGGCTGAAGCGGAGGGGGCACGGGAGGGGGGGGGAGGGGGGCGGGACAGCGCGGACTCTCTTCATAGCCTTCTTTGGGAACATTTTCTGGATTTCTGCTGGGGAAGAGCCGCACCCACGGGTTTTGAAAAAGGAGTTGTTCGTAAATGAACCTTATCTTTTACTGCCCTTCTTCAGCCCTTCCTCTGCTTGTCACACCCTCCTCTTTGCATTTTGGCAGAGATATGAAGGGGTAAGAGGTGAGAGGACGCAGTTGTCATGGCAACTTCCCACACTTCCATACTTCCTGGACCAATGGGGGAGAGAGCAGAAGGGAGGAGGAGGAACTGGCCAGTGTATTGGGCAAAGAAGAGGTAGCAGGGATGTGCCTCTACTGATCTCTCTCCTGGCTCCAAATTCCTTTCTCTCATAGCTGTTTGTTTGGTGTCCCTCTGTCCCAGCAGGTTCACAGATTCTCCCATCATACACTGACTGCCAGCCAAATGCATTGGGAGAAGCCCCCCTTTTTATAAAATATATATAGATTTCAGAGAGGCAGGGAGAGAGCTAGAAACATCAATGATGAGAGAGAATCATTGATCGGCTGCCTCCTGCACGAGGCTCCTGGGGATCGAGCCTGCAACCCGGGCATGTGCCCTGACGGGGAATTGAACAGTGACCTCCTGGTCCGTAGGTCCACGCTCAACCACTGAGCCACCCCGGCAGGGGGAGAAGCCCCCCTCTTCTCAGTCCGAGCCCTGACCTCTTTCCTGAATTCACTCCCATCCGGCTTTACCCAAAGTAAACCCTTTTCATTACCCACTATGCTTTCAAACTGCTGGGACAGAAGGGACATAATTCCACTCCTCTCGACTGGCATCCCGTATTTTTGTTTGAAAATCTTACGTTTACAAGGCAAGAGTCGCAGCCGAACTCCATGCAAATCTTGCCCTTTGATTTGGTAACATCCCCATACAGAATCAGCTCCGCAAGCATAGCTCCTTCAATACCACACGGGGGCGCCCCAGTCCGGGGAACAATATTTATGGCCATTAGGACGTGATTCCGGAGATCCCAGGCCCAGCGACTGGAGCTCTGGCCTTGGCCAGCCAGGTGCATATTCTCTCATCTTTTCCAGTCCTTTCTTTGTTTCCAGCTAGGAAAGGACCGCCATTGATCATTGATTTTTCCCACCCCTGCCAGGCTGGTAAGACCAGGGGTGTTAGATGCGGCGCGGGGTGACTCTCGCCCTCCCCCCTCCCCCCAAAAGTCTTCTCGGTCTGCACAGGGAAGGTACTTTGGGAGGACCCGGCTGCACCTCTCCCTGAACGTTCTTCAGTACCGTGGACAACACTCCCCTTCAGGTTTCTGCTCAGGCATCTCTGAGCGCCCGGCGCTTTAACACAGGGGGCATTCCAACCCCATTTGTCTTCCGCTATAAAATAAGGCCTCCTTCGCAAGGAGAGATCCTGGTAGTCCTATTTCTCTTTCACAGCCGTGTGTAGAACTTTCTACAGAGAGGATGTTCATGACACAGAACATGATTCTTGATGCTTGCCAACATTTGACCTTTCTCTTGCCCTTGGGAGGTCGGCAGGCAGGAGGTAGTATTCCCCATTTCACAGATGAGAAAAGTGAGGCTCAGAGAGAGAAAAAGTCACACGTACCTGGTATTCACATTTCCATTCCTGCACCTTCTAATAAAAGTGCTTCCCCACCGTCACCCAATCAATCTGATTCACACAGCCCAGTGAGGAGGGGATGCTTCCATTATAGGGAGAATCAATTAAAACAGGAAGCAACACTGACTAATGTGGTGCTAATAAGGGCCCTGGGCCCTTACTACGCTCAAGGATCCTGAGATGAGGACAGCACAGAGCAGAAATAGACAGCGGGACCTTTGGATTCCATCCAGATCGGAGGCACATCTAGGGCACATCTGGGGCCTGCCTGAGTGGGCTTCCCTCCTGGGAGTCTGAGCATAGGAACTAGGACCCCGCAGGCTTAGTGAGTCGGAAAGACACATTCTAGTCCTCTACCCCATCCCCAAGTCTTAACCTCATTTCCATCAGGACAGACAAGGATCACAGCCTCCTTCCACCTCCCCAACTTGTTTCACACACAGAGGAGACACTCTCCCTCCTCATTTTCTGTTAGAGGTTTGAACAGGCTGCACAATGACAGACAGAAACGCACACGTACATGGAAATGTACACAAGGTGTCACCCACACAAACACATGGATCTGCCTCCCAAACCCAGGAATGTGCACAGGTACAGAGGTACTGGTCTCACATACCTCCCAATGTGGGAGAGAGAGGGTATCTGGGCAGCAAAGTGGTTTGGGGGACAATTATAAAGGGAGGCCACACGGCACCTCCCAGGCCTAGAGCTTCTTTCTATCTCTGGGTCTAGAGGGAGGCAAGAGAGTGCGTTTCCCTTTGGGTTTGGGTGAAGTTCTGGGAGGGCTGTTGTGTATCGAATGAGCTTCAGTTATAAGAATGATCTCTGAGTACTTTATGGGGGGTGGGGTGGGACCTGACCCAGCACTAACCAAAGCCCAGGGACAGGGGCCAGATGCTGCTCCTAGGAGCCAGGCTGGGTAGCTAGGACACTAGAGTCCCGCCTGGGTCCACCTGGGGGAAACAGTGATGTGTACTAAAGATCTCCTTGTGCGCCAGGAAGCTAGAGAAGCAGCCAGGGTAATACGTGTCATAGACACTCACAAAGCTCCTCTGAAGACACCACCACATGAAAGTGCACAATCTGCATCAAATGCCATTATAACCCACATAGTCTCACAATCACAAAACACAACACAACCCACTTTAACAAAAGCTTGCCCCAGGAAGTTCACAACATCTTACAAAGAGACATACCACCATAAAGTGAAGCCCTGACACTAATGGTAGTCACATGCGACTTCATACAGGATCACACACTCAAAGCACGGAGTTGCACAGAGAACAGAAACACATGGTCAAACAACTTCATTAGTACACTCGGTACTACATAACCTCACTCAAACATCTGACGAGATCATACAATCCCACAGCCACATACAATCATGCTCACCCTGGCTGTCACCAAGCCCAGGGCACATGGCAACCGGCTGTGGGAGGCGCACATATATATATACACACAGATACACACAAAGAATGACAGGCACTCACGCACCTCCCACCAGAACCCTCCTGCCTTGTCTCCCCACCTGCCCACCTACTCTCCCCACCCCCAGCCATCCCCCCTCCCTCTGCCCCCGTAGGACCCAAGGCTTTGAACCTGTGTCCAGGGGCCCAGAACAGCCGGGAGGTGCCTGGAAATGGGGCAGAGTGTGGGTAAGGGCTTGGCAGGGTCAGAGGCTTAAGGGTTTGGAGGAATGGAATCTACCCTCCCTCCCACGAGCCCCGATCCACCGACTCACCAGTGAGCTGGTCATAGGATCCGTCCAGGTCTCGGGAATCGGACAAACTCTCCTTGCGACCCTGGCCCCGCATGGCCCCCGGCGACCCCCTCCCGTCCCGCCTGGGCTGTGGGAGGGGGCGCCGGGTGGCTGGGATAGGGCGCTCACACGGCGCCCCCTGGCGGCGAAGGGGCTGGGGGCCAGGAGAGTCTGGGCTAGGATTGAGTCTGGGGACCGGGAGGGGTCTAGAGCCCACCCAGGGGTCCCGGGGCAGGAGCGGAAGGGAGGCTTGGGCAGTAGGTGAGCGCAGAGCCTGAGGCAGAGCAGAGCTGAGCGCGGAGCCAGAGCCAGCCGCCTCTTTCCTCCCGCCCCCTCCCCGCGGCTGTCACCACTGCCTCCCCCCTTTGGCGCTGCCGGGATTGGCTCCCCCTACCCCCGCCCCCTCCTCTTTGCAGCTCCGGGAGGCACCCGGTGAAAGGGTGAGCTGGGAAGTGCGGGGAGAGAGACTGGCTCTCCAACCACACTACCCCCTAAACCCGAAGCCCTGGGTTTTGGAGGTGGAAGAGAAAGCAGGGCCAGAAAGGCCCCTGTGAGGAAACTCCGCCCCCAATTCTCAGTACTTTCCCCTCTAAGCCAGCACAGGTCGGGTAAGTCTCCGTCCCTGTGTAGCCCCTATTTTTCTCTGTTGCTCTCTTCCTATGTATGGGTCTCTGTGCCTCCCTCCTCCCCTGCCCCCGCCAGTGCCCACCCTGCTTGAAGGGGGTGGGGACTCAGAGGGGTCAGCGCCTCTAATACAGACTTTTCTTGGGCCAGCGGGCTACAATTCCCTTCTCTCTCAGCAGTACCCCAACCCTCACCCACTCCAGGACTTTGGGCCCATCCATTCTCAGGGCGCCTTCTTTCCTGATCTAATGACCCCCGTTGGCCAACTGGGGAGAAAAGGAAAAGTGAAACAGGTCAGCTTCTCAAGACTTTCTTGCTCTTCTGTTTCTTCAACTTGCCTGGCCTTCTCTTCTATCACCTGCTCTGTCCTCGATTCCTTGTTTATCCATAAGATTTTTTTGCGGGGAGGGGTGGCAACTGAGAGTTTGAGGATCTAGGTGAAGATCCACAGTGGGGAATAAATGCTCTTGATGTGAGAGCCGCGCTCCCTCCCCATCCCCCCGACCCCCCCCCCCCATGAGGATGGAGGGGAGGGCAGTGTCTGGTGGGTCTGGATAGTATAGTGTCCCGGGTAATCCTGCCTGCCCAATGGCTCCTTTGGAGGAGTGACCTGTTTAGACCGAAAGTTTCTGCTAAAATGACCCCAACATGTTCAATTCCTTTCATTGGATTTAATTTCCAAGCATTTGATTCAATTAACCCAGCAGGAATTAAGGTGGGAGACTAGGCATGAAAAAGGGACAAGCAGCCAAAGGAAAGACTGTCTTTGGGAGCCATGTCCTGGTCCTGGCTCTGGAGGGCCCTCCTAGACCTGGCCCGGACACTGGGGAATGGAGAGAGCATGGCAGATGCTTTGGAGTTCAGTTCTAGGAGGGGATGGGATTCCTGTTTAGAGTCCTTAGCATAAGGTGTATAGGCCAGAGATGGAAGGGCCTTGACATTGGAATCCTTTATGACTTCATGCCCTTGACCTGCACTTATTCACTTCATAGGAAGGACTAGCAGGGGTCCATAATGGGCTGGCTGCCCTCCTCAATACCGAGTTTGGAGATAAGGGGACTTTCTTCTCCCTCTTTCCACCCAAAGGACTTCTCTGAACTGAATTTGCTTCCTCTGTGGCCAGGAGACTCCAGAGGAGAGTCTATAAGGATAGGAAGGGCCCCCATAGCCAAATGGGACCAGTACCTGGAAATTACCTTAACAATGTATTTGAGAAATGAGTTCTGGGTAAGAGATTAAGGAAAAAGAAAGACACTAAAAAGACTGTCCCATACAAATCAATTTTTAATCATTTCAGCTTGCCACCAGCTTCCAGCTCCAGTTCCACTAAATGCCCCAGGTTGAGCTATGCATCTAGTGAGCAGAGGTGACCCAGCTGCTGATCTCTTAATCTACACCTGTCCATGGCAGCATGTTGGTGGATTCTCTGGTACTGGATTCATAGTGCATATCTGCCCAATGCTGGAGGCAGAACCCTGGTGCCAAAAGGGGGTTGGGGGGCAAGTATCCCTCCCTGGAAGTTTAAGTGGAACAGTAGCCAGGGAGGTCCCTGCACTCACTCCTAGACTCTTCCTGTGCTGCTTGCTCCCTGCCATCCCGAGGCTTTAGGAAGTGTTTTAGAAAGGGAGGATCTCAGAGCAGCAGCTACTTAGGAGGCAGCTGTTGGGTAGGGAAAGCCTACAGTAGTCCTATGGAGGCCGTTCAGAGGAGGAATCACAGGCCAAATTCTCAGATGTCAGGAGTCTTGCCTGTGGCTTCACCCACAATGTGGGTAGACGGGATGGCCTCTCCATGATGCTCACCTGGCCTCTTTCAGATGGAGGGTACTATGCCCCCAGCAGGTTCTCTCCATCCTAGGCACCAAACCACATTAGAAACAGATCCCTCCCCAGAGGAAATTCTCAGGCAGGCTGGATGTAAACAACAGCCGGGTGAGGGGGTGGAACACGTGGAGGGAGCCAGGCAGAGGCAGGCAAGGCTCCCAGAGGAGGGGTGGCTAGGGAGGTGGGAGGCTGCTGGAAAAGGAACCAGCTAAGTAGGCACCTGAGGGCTCCAGAAAACCTGTCAATGTTTATTTCACACAAACATCCTAAAGACAGTTTAAACCAGATTTGAAAATGAAAAGCTAAAGTTGTGACCCTAAAGTGTGATGAGTCAATGGGTGGAAGGCAGGGGAAAGGTAACAGGTACTCCTGGTACCAAGAATCAAATCCAGAAAGTGATGGCTGGACAGCAGAGCACTGGGTGGATTCTAATCTTCAGTCTCCCAGATAAGTCAGCTTTGGATTTAGAAAACAGAAAAAGATACTCCATTCCTACCCTACCCTAAGCCTGAGCTAAGAGTCCTAATGACTGGACAAGTGATAGCGGGGGCAGGGGAGACAGATTTCAAGTCCAGCTGAGCCCCAGGCCAAAGGAAGCAGAATTAGTTCCACCTACATCTGAGAGTTGTCTGTTTTCAGAAGCCTTGGAGAGCCCTTGATCCTCAGGGTACTGGCATCACCCTAAGGCTTGCCCCAACAGCGCCTGAAAATTAGTCAGTAGCCTCAACTTGTAATTGCGATTAGAAATGTGAAGGGATGTCCAGGGAGCCTTCTCTCTGTGCCCACCCACCCCTCCCCAAATAAGATTATCCCTGGCTTGCCCCTCCTGGCCTCTGCTGTCCAAGCTCCCCTGAAGCATGGCCTTCACCGAGAGAACTGGGTGTCTGTGTTGTTCTCCAACCTTGGGGACAGCCCCCTCTCCTCTGACTCCCCCTCCAGCCCAAAAGCCTCATGGGTAAGGGCAGTCAGCGGCTGGTCTCAGGAGATAGTGGAGAACTCCTTGAGCAGGACTTCCTGGCTGAGTGTGTGGAAGGCCAGGTTTCTCCGGACGTTGGTGCTAATGGATCGAACCTGGGAAAGGGTGGGGGGAGATAGGAAGAACACAGGCAGAGAGAAAAGAAGAGAGAGTTGTTACAAACAGTAGAGGGCAGTGTTTGAGGCACAAGGCCAAGATTCAGTGCTAGAAGTTTCTCTCAGGAAATAAACCCTTAATAGCTATCATCCCGGCAGGCAAATGAGCAAACAGCTCGGTGATGGGGGAAGAAAAGGAGACTGGGAGACAGAAGCTCTCGTGGATGTGAGAGGAGGATCGGAGCACCTGAAGTGGTGGAAGCAGCACAGACAAGTAAGGACAGGGCAGGCCTTTGTCCTTGCTGGGCCTTGCACAGGGTGATGGAGGAGAAACTGATGCTAGTGGGCTCACACTCTGGAACTACCCCCTTTTGGATGCATTTCTAGTCTTCTCACTCTCCCTTTGTATTTATCTACCTTTTTGGGTTGGGAAGAACGTTTAGAGATGCAGGCCTTATCTGGCATAGATGACAGGAGTATGATCCATGGAGGACAATGACCAGGATCAGGCCATATGGCTAGTGAGTCCCAGGCCTGGGGCAGGACCCAGGTTTCTTAATTCCTAGTCCAGCCCTCTTTCCATACCACAAATATGCGCTCTTACTTTAGAGGAAGTCTGGAGTGTGCCCTTGCTGTGTCCCTCCTGCTCACCTCACATGTCTTCTACCCACAGACCCAGAACCTTGCAGGAAGTGGTGCCTGTGTCAGCAGGGAAAAGATGGATGGAAAAGGGGTCAGAGGGCCAAGCTGACTCTGGAAGGAGATCCATTCATAGGAAATAGATGTGAATGTTGTATGAGAGAAAAGGGGAGGAGGGAGGAAGGAGAAAAAGAGTGCGTAACTCTGCTGGGCCCCAAAGTCCAGGGAGTTTTCCTTCCATTTCTGCTTTGCTATGGGAGAGATAATGCAGTCGTCAGGCTGGGAGCAGAGGAAAAGGAGGCATGGCAAACAGCAAGCAGCTCAAGCTCATTAGCTCCAACCCTACCAGACTGTCTCTGCTCCCCTATGCCAGAGGTACAGGTATAAGGAGAGCTGAGTAAGGTAGCAGCTAGTGTCAAAGAGCCTTGAGATAGAGCTCCTCTAATGTTCTTCTCCACAGCCATCTCCATCTCCCAATAACTTAGTCTCTTTGTTAAGTTGACCCCAGTAATTCTCCATCACCTTAAAGACTTGCCAACTACCCCATAAAAACACTCTATTTCCTTACACTAAAGGCTTCCCTTTTTACCAGCTAACTCAACCCAGAGTATGTCTTCCTCACCCTGGGGAAGTCCCAAATCCTGGAAATGTCAAGTTAGGGTCAGAGTTGGGCTGTGTTTAGTTCAAGACAGATGAGCTAAATAAAATCCAGAATCTTCATCTTGGACTCAGTCAGCAGAGAGTAGTAAAAGCTGGGCTGATGCAATTTCTGCTCAGCAGTGGGAGGTCTGAGGACATGGGAAGTAGGTACAGAGGCCTGTGTGTCCTGGTCTCAGCCCTCAGCCGGGATGTTCATGTGCAACCAGGCAGGCGGAGTGGCAGGACTACAGGGAGGTTGAACTTTTCCTGAGAGTAGCTCTGAGCAGTGTGCAGGAGGGGGACCATCAACAGGGAGAGGCCAGTTCTGTGAAGAGATGCTGACTGGGAGGTGGAGTAGGAGGCAGAGCAAATGCTCACTGCTCCAGGTGGCCATGGATGGAGGCTGTAGGAAGCTGAGTGACTGGAAAGTGGGAGTAGGGACAGAGAGTGAAGACTAGAGAACTCGGTTTGGGGGGTGGGGGAGGGACACTCAGACCAGGAACCGGTTAGGAATTTAGAAAGTGACTGCATAAGGAGAAGAATCAATTATTCTTATTAGTTGCTCTCTAGACAGGATAAGGAGTAATGAGCCAGAGCTGCCACTGGGAACACATGTCAAACCCCAGGCCCAGCTGGAGCTGTGCAAGGGCTGTCTCTACGGCTGCAGAAGAGAGGTGGGCAGTGCTGTCTCAGGCTTCTCACCCTTCCCAACCTGGCACCAGTACCCTGGGGAATGTCTTCTCTCACTGCCTGGTCCTGCGCTGCTTTGGGAGAGAAGTTTGCACACTTCATCAGCCTTTGGAATACTGCAGTTGTTCTCTAGACGCTCAGCTGCAGAGTAGAACCTAGTGGTTGGGAAAGGGTCCCCAGAAGACACAGATAGAGATGGAGCAGGGCAGACTTACCAGCTCTTTGAAGAAGGCAGCTTCCTTGTGCTGCTCCGAATAGCGCTCATACTGGTCCAGGCCATCCTGCAGCTTCAGTGTGAGTGTGTCATAGTTGGCTCGTACTACCTCCAGCACCTGGGGGAGGTCAAGAGCCAGGCAGGGCTTAGTACAGGCAACCCCTAGGTTACTTGGCCCCATGCATACCCCTCCTGCTGCCCTACTGCATTGCTCACTACTTAATAACCACCCCCCCACAAAAAAAATCCCTAAACACGGGGAGCAATTCCTCAGGATTTCGGGATCACTTTCTAATCTCTTCCGTCCCCCACTTTTCCTGACTAGTCAGCCTGGCCACCAAGGCTGTTTACTAGGGCTGTGGTAAAAGAGCATGAAAGAGGTGACGGAATAGTGAGCATCTAAGCTCACCAATGTCCCCAGACCAGAAATGTGTTCCAGCCACATCCTGCAGCTTTCTCTGGCCAGGTTGCCACAGCAGCTCCGTAAGACTTTGCCAATGTATCCTTCCTTCTTCCTTTTTGGGAACCATATTTCTTCAGTTCTGGGATGTTCCTCAGCACCATCTGCCACTTGTTTTCATCTCTCAATGCCAACTCAGTCTTCCTATCTGTTGCCTGGATCGAACTTTTGGGTATCCCAGCTTTGGGGTGTAGAGAACACTTTCTAGACCAGGGGTGGGCAAACTTTTTGACTCGAGGGCCACAATGGGTTCTTAAACTGGACCGGAGGGCCGGAACAAAAGCATGGATGGAGTGTTTGTGTGAACTAATATAAATTCAAAGTAAACATCATTACATAAAAGGGTACGGTCTTTTTTTTTTTTAATTTTATTCATTTCAAACGGCCGGATCCGGCCCGCGGGCCGTAGTTTGCCCACGGCTGTTCTAGACTAAGCTAGAGGTAACCTCATCTTTTGTTCTGATGTGGGTCTCTCCCCCATCATACCTCTCTCTGACTTTCTATGGTAGGGATTCAGACTCAACTGACTCCAGGAACCTTGGATCTCTGTTGTTCCAAAAGGAAGGGACTCTCATAGCTGGTCCTGATATGACTGCAGTTTATAAGACCATGAATTAAAGGCAAGGATAATTAGGAAGAAAGGCACTACATCAAATTAGAAGAAATGAGCTGGGCAGAAAGGAGAGACCAGGAGAGGAAATGACTGTTCACTCTGACAATCTGGGTGGTAGCTATTTTGCAACTTGATCTGACCTGGGAGGGAAGTCTATGATGTCATGGAGAGCTCCCTGCTCAGTAGGAAGCTTAGGAGAATGAGTAATGAGAGAGGCTTAGCTCTAACAGCAGATAAGGGTGAAGGGGATAAGCTAGAGTCACGACTGGTCAGAGGGATCAAGGATAAACTCCTGAAGGGCGCAAAGGTGCCTCTGGGCTGTTCTCAGCAATTCAGTCTTGTGCCAGGGCAGACTTCACTTGGTAGCAAACACTTCTGCCTGCCAAGAATTCCTGAGGGGAGAGTATGGATGGAGAACACGGGGAAGACTGTGTACCCGAGTCTGGGGGGAAGGGACAAAAGTCTGGCCTAGGCTCTAGGATCACTACTCCAGAGCTCCTCAGGTGATTTTGCCGATGTATCCCAAGACCCCAGTATGAGCTGGCTCTCTTGCTTCAAATTCCATTTGAAAGCTCTGACAGGAGGCGGGCCAGTACCCAGCAATGGCAATCGCCCAGAAGGTAACCTGGTCCTTTTATACACCTGGACTGCGTTCAAGGCTGGAATATCTACAGCCAAGGTCTTGGCTCAGAAGTGAATGGCTCAAGTCTGGAAAAAGGCCAAACGCCTCCAAGATGAACCAGCCCCCAGAAACCAGGCAGAATAGAAGAATACATGCTGCCCAAACCCTGAACAATGGCAGCCTTGGCAACATGGGCTCAGCCTTTCCTGAAGGGTGTCAGTTGCCAAAAGACAAATATCATGCTAAAGCCAATTTCTGAGAAGGTGAGGATGTCAAGAGATGCTTCATTCCAAGAGCCTCACACCTCAGGCAAGGCTGCCTTGATCACCTGGACTTTCTCTTCCTGCCAGGGCAGAATGGAAGCTCTGAGATCTCACTCAGAACAGGGATTTTTCCTTTTCCAGTGAAGTTGACTTTTGCCAGAACAGCTTCATTTGGTTTTTTGCAGGGAGGTGAAAGCAAACAAGGCCCCTGCACTGCCAGCCCCCTGGAAGAAAACCAGGCCTTGCTGGACTTAATGCATGATCCCAGCTCTCCTCTGTCCAGACCTTACTTCTTTTTTTTTTTAAAAATATATTTTATTGATTTTTTACAGAGAGGAAGGGAGAAGGATAGAGAGTTAGAAACATCGATGAGAGAGAAACATCGATCAGCTGCCTCCTGCACACTCCCCACTGGGGATGTGCCCACAACCAAGGTACATGCCTTTGACCGGAATCGAACCCGGGACCCTTGAGTCCGAAGGCCGATGCTCTATCCACTGAGCCAAACCGGTTAGGGCAGACCTTACTTCTTTTTGCCCCCTTTTACCCAAGGGAAAGTTGCCCTTCAGTTCACCAAGACTTTGTCATCTCCTGCCCTCATCATTTCTCTTAAATTCCTAAAAGAAGACATTCTAAACTCAAGTCAGGGCTCTAGCCCATTCAGGACTTAGTTTGGGACTTTGCCTTCTGTAACTCCACACTTTAGGAACATGTCCCATTTGGACCTCACACTCAACAACGGCCTGGGACGTGGCAAGGGCAGCACTTGTGCCTAACGACCTTAGGTCTTACCATAATTTTCAGCCTTGGTCTCTGGCTTCCTGGCCTCATCCTGGCTGAGATGCCTCCCTAATCCATCTTCCAAGTACAAGCCTACCTTCTGTCATCAGCTGTTGGGATTGCGGGCTTCCTAGAACCATGCTCACCACCTCAGCTCAAAGTAGCTCCAAAGTCAGTAAATCACCTGTAAGCCACATGCTCTCTAAGGAGTCCATACCTGCTCCCCACCCCCGAGACCCTCACCAGACAGAAACGTGGGTCCTGGCCAGAGGCCTGACAGAATAGAACGGGTAGTCCCGCTCTTACTATCGGATCTCAGACAATCACTTAACCTCTTGGAGCTTAGCTCTTCTCTCTATAAAATGGAACTTGAATTTGTCTTCCTAAAATGAAATGGGAATAAAATGTTGAATTCCTAAAAGTAACATACAATTGATGGAAACATCATCCCAATGACTAAACAACTACCTGGAGAGTTCTTGGGACTCAAGGTAACTGTTTTCACAGCCCATTTCAAACTATCTCAACGATCCTATGTGCATAAATGATTCTTCATCACAAAGGAACATCTTCTGGATTTAAGTGGAAGACACAAAAGGCCTCAGTTTAGGGAAGAACAAACTGGGGGGCGGGTGAACCTAAACCCCTCCCATGAGGTCTCTTGAGGGGAAGGGCATGACATAGGCCTTAAGGTCAGAGAGACCTGAATATTGGTCCCATTGACCACTAATTAGCTATGTAAACATATACACATAATGTCTTTGAGCCTCAGTTTTCTTATCTGTGAAATGGAGATAACACTACCTCATAAGGCTGATGTGAGAATGAAAAGAGATGATTGTCCAATGTCTGGCACATAATGAATAGTCAATAAATCAGCGGTTCTCAACCTGTGGGTCGTGACCCCTTTGGGGGTCGAACGACCCTTTCACAGGGGTCGCCTAAGAGCATCGGAAAACACATATATAATTACATATTGTTTTTGTGATTAACCACTATGCTTTAATTATGTCCAATTTGTAACAATGAAATTGGGGGTCACCACAACACGAGGAACTGTATTAAAGGGTCGCGGCATTAGGAAGGTTGAGAACCACTGCAATAAATCGTTATTAATTATATGATGAAAGCTTCTTTCTGGTGACAATGAGCATTTGGCAGTTCTGCTTATCCCCAGATAGAGTTAAACATAAGCCTGGAGGGCCTTGCACATCTTCATTCAGGATACGGCAGATTCTGGTGAGGAGAAAATCTACTTTCTCTGTTCAATAAGAAAGCAGGCTTCCCATAATGACCACACTATCCTGAGTTAACTGGCAATGTATCAGTCAAAAGTCAGAGAATACCCAGTACCTACCACTGCCAACCTTACCAATCTCGGTAGTGCAAAGGGATACAAGTTATACTGAAGAAAAACTGATCAGAAATACCCACAGAGGCCAGCCTTGCGTCATACAGATTCTGAGGCTCGTGGTGACATCAGGATCGGGAAGGAAAGAGGTCCCAGTGCACGAAGTTAGTTCAAAATTGCTGACTAAATGTCAGAGAGACCCACACCCTCCCCCTAGCACACACAATAGACATTCCTCACAGTCTATTCAAGAGCCTGTGCCCCATTTTTTAAAACAGAGCCTTCAAATTGGGAAATAACTTCTACCCTGAAGACAGCAGCAAAGGAGAACAGTCAAGCTGGTAAAGTTCCTGGCAATGGCTATCCAACCTTGATGTCAGAGAGGTTTTGTCCTGTGCCTGAAAAATTGCTTAATCTCAAATTGCTGTTGGACTGAATTCCCAGCCGAATGAGAATTAGGGGACAACTAAGGAAAACGATATGACCTGACAGCAAGCTTGTGTTCATTACCTTCTTCTCAGTTTGAACACATCTCACAAGGGCAGTTCAGAATGGATCAAACCTGGTTTCTAAGAAATTAAAACTATGGATTGTGTATTTTGGGAGTCAAGTAACATTACTTCCCATCCTTTTTACCTTTTGCTCATCCTTTCCCCCCCCCCATTGATTTCACAGAGGAAACGAGAGTGATAGAGAGAGAGAAACATCAATGATGAGAGAGAATCGTTGATTGGCTGCCTCCTGCACACCCCCTTCTGGGGTGGGGGGATCGAGCCCACAACCCAGGCATGTGCCCTTGGCCAGAATCGAACTGGGATCCTTTAGTCTGCAGGCCGATGCTCTATCCACTGAGCCAAACCGGCTAGGGCTGCTCATCCTTTTTGTAGGACTTATTTTCAGCATCAGAGCTGAGTCTGAACAATCTGCCTTTGAGGCGGAGCCTAAATTGTCAGTGCCAGAGTCACAGACCTGTCAGAGGTAATGGCTGTCCCTACAGCTGACGTCTCAGGGGCCCTGCTCGCTGATGGA